TTTTTTAAGTTGAATTCAAGTGTTGGAGTGATTTTGTTACAGGTGACTGATAAGCATTAGAAACGTTGTGGTCGTGTTGCTTTTTTCTATGTGTGTTAATGATTGGTCTTTCATTCTTGACTGGATGATTAGTTTTGTTTTTTTCCTTTTTTTTTGTTTTTTAATAAGCTATAATGATTATTCTTTTGTACCAAAATGTTCGTTTACAATTCCTCTTATGCTTGAAGTATGTCATTTTGAATTGATTTGTTATAATTGAGTTCTATAGCGCAGTGAAATTGTTGTCATTTTGAATTGATTTATTTTAATTGAGTTTTGTAGAGTGTGAGGTACCAAAAATATTGTTGAGAGTGCCTTTAGGCACGAATTATAATTTTTTTTTTAATTTTTTTTTTACTTTACATTTTACTATTTTGATTTGCAATATTACTGAACATTATAAATTTTATATGTTTATTCCTAATTTGTATTAAGGTTAGGGGGAGTTGTTATTTCAATTAAGTTCTATAGAGCGCGTCGTACAAGTAAAATTGTTGAAAACTCTAAGAATCATCAAAAAATGCTAGACTTTATAAATTTTAGTATGATACATATAAATTACAACTATATTTTGATTACAATATTATTTATACCGTGCTTTTAGGTATGGACATACACTAATATATATATATATATATATATATATGGCATCATAGGATTATTATGCTAGGCCATGTTTGATTCACAATACTAATAGTGAGGTATTAATAATCCTATCAAATTAGTGTGGTATTAGCTATCCCACCCCTACCCCATTACTAATAATCCTACAAATTTGTTGGATTAATTATCCATTGGATTAATAATCCTAAACCAAAATGTCAAAACAAACATAGGATGATTGGGCCCACGGATTAATAATCCCAATCCTATGCTTTAATCCTTCCAATCAAACATACCCCTAAAGATCCAGTTTCAAATATGTTACTAGCTTATTGAGTTGACTTTATAGATTTAATAAATTACAAATATATTTAAAGTTAACTTTGTTTGTCTCCCAAGTTTTTTATTTTTTGATTAATATTATATAAATGCAAACCCACGTCACAGTCTCTTTTATAAACTACTCTTGTATTTATCGAATTCAAATACATCCATAAGCCTTTTATAAATGCAAATATCTATTTGTAAATTTCAAATACACCTATATCAGTGTACATACCTTTTAAGAATGCCTTTCACATTCTTTTTTTGATAAGATACCTTTCACATACAATAACGATAAAAATAATAAATTTCTTTATTTTTTTATTTTTTATTTTTTTATTTTTCAAACCGTATCAGTAAAAAAATACCCACACCTACTAACATGGTATGTGATGCAGTTCCATCTACAAAATTCACACATATCATGTCTTCAAAATTCACACATATCATGGACCATCACACCACTGAAAACTGGGCTCTGGCTCATACAGAAAGGCAAAACATTAAAGCAATAATACCAATGCAATGCAGGACTATGTAAACCCCATCTTGTACGTATTTTATATAGTACTAGTGGTAGAAGATGCCAGTACCGTGTGTGAACAGCCCTAAAACACAGCTGTCAATTAAAAATAAAAGAGTGAATCTGAATGTATATATTAGATTATATTTAATTTTTTAATTATAGGTCTAATCAATATATGTTCACATTAGTGTTGCATATGTGAATTCTAGAATTTATTTTTCTCTTCAACAGATTAAGTTTGTTTTGTCATTGTACATTCATGAATTCTTGATTTTCCAAATTAATGATATTAGATTTGGTAATTGGCTATCTATGAACAAACTCTCTTAGCCTGTGTTTGGCAAGTGGGTTTGTAGGCTTTTTTGGCTATTTTAGCCACAAAAAACAAAATAGGCTATTTTAGCCATAACAAACAAAACATCACATCCAACCTATAATCATTACATTCTTCTCTCACAAAAAAACTTAAAAAAGTCAAAAAGCCAAAAAGCCCTTCCCAAACCAAGCTTTTAAGCCCAGGCTAAAATAGCCAAAAAAGCCAAAAAGTCAAAAAGCCAACTCACTTCCCAAACGGAGGCTTAGTTGAACCAATATTAATGTCTTTCACGAAATAACAATGATTCATACTATTAAAAAAAAAAACTACTAATAGCACTAATACATTGGGAATGTCAAAAAAAATAAAAAATAAAAGACATAACTCACTATCACATCATTAGTGATATTATTAGAGTACCAGTTTTAGTACTCTCAACCATTTTTCTTCGCGAAAATTCTCAATGAAACATGAAAAATCTACTGATAACTGGCCCATGATGTAATGGCTCTTGATAGAATGTGTGTAGGTCAAACAAGTTGAACATACCGTCAGAAAATAAAAGATCAAAATCAAAAGGTACTATGTTTGATGTATGGTAAACTCGTGGACAGTAAAATCAGAATTGATGGGGGAGTAAGGCTATGTCATGAAATTTGGTTCACAAATTAGGGGTTTGAGGGAGACATAATTTTGTAGCAAATGTTATGTAAACTTCTGAAGGAGTTATGATAAATTATAATTAAAAAATAGAATATGTATTTTTGTGATAATGTTACACATTTTTTAATTAAAGCATTAAAATGTGTAACATTATCACACAAATGTGTAATTCAATTTTCTGAATCACAAATTATCAAAATTTTATTAAAAAATTACATAATATTTATATAAAAAGGGTTAAAATCTCAATTGATGCTAAAATATTTTTTAAAAATATTAAAGACTTTAAATAAATTACTAAATATTTTACATAATACTCATATGAATGTAATATGCGTTTCACACCCATATAAATGTTAGACTGCCATTAGCATCCTATGAAAATATCCAACTATTCAAGTCCGAATGAAAGTATAATTTACGAGAGGCAGTTAGGGTTGTTTTGAAAAGTTAGTAAAAAGTTAGTTTTTAGCTTTTTATTAAATTTTTTGATTTTTTTAGAAGTGATTTGAGAAGTTGGTAAAAAGTTGACATTTTACTTTTTAGTTTCATATTTATTTATGGTGTCAAATCAAATTAAAATGGTCAAAATATCCTTACCCAACATAAGAGATTTATTTATTTATTTATTTTTTCATAGATCCTAATTTGTAACTTTACGGCTGCGTTTTTGGCACTTGCCAAATGACTTTTCTGACGTTTTTAACAGCCACATTTTTAGATATTTTATCTAAAAACAAGACTTTTTACCATATTCTCAAAATTACGCTACATATTTTGGGACAACATTAAATAGTATCCATGTGCCTGTCTGACACCCACTCGGAGGCGGGGTCCCTGCTGTGGGTTGCCCCTGCTGTGCTTGCGGTCCCCATAACAACATTGTTTAATCTTCTTCTTCTTCTTTTTTTTTTTTTTTTTTTTTTTCATGTTCCGACTTTATTTTTTTGGCATGATAAATTACATTTTATTCTAAATCTTAAATCCTAAAATAAAAATAAATAATTTTAAGAATTAAACCCCAAACCCTAAACTCTAAAATAATAATAAAAAATTTATCCCTAAACCCTAAAATAAAATAAAAAATAAAATTTAAGAATTAAACCCTAAACCCTAAACCTTAAACCATAAAATAAAAATAAAAAATTTAAGAATTAAATCCTAAACCATAGATCTTAAACCCTAAAATAAAAAATAAATTTTAAAAATTAAACCCTAAAACCTAAACCCTAAAATAAAATAAAAAATTTTTATCCCTAAACCCTAAAATAAAAAAAAAATTAAGAATTAAACCCTAAATCCTAAACCCTAAATCCTAAACCCTAAAATAAAAAAATAAATTTTATACCTAAATCATAAAATAAAATAAAAATAAATTTTAAGAACTAAACCCTAAATTCTAAACTCTGAAATATTAGTTCTTAAAATTTATTTTTATTTTATTTTATGATTTAGGTATAAAATTTATTTTTTTATTTTAGGGTTTAGGATTTAGGGTTTAATTCTTAATTTTTTTTTTATTTTAGGGTTTAGGGATAAAAATTTTTTATTTTATTTTAGGGTTTAGGATTTATTTATTTATTTATTTTTCATAGGCCCTAATTTATAATTTTACGACTGCATTTTTGGCACTTGTCAAATGACTTTTCTGACGTTTTTGACAATCACATTTTTAGACATTTTATCTAAAAATATGACTTTTTACCATGTTTCTAAAATGGCGCTAAACATTTTGGGACAACATTAAATAGTATCCATGTGCCTGTCTGACACGCTCCTTCGATGCAAACAAAACATGTTGGGTCACGCATCTTATAAAAATTACAACAATACTTACCTCAATTTTCATAACTCGAAAAAGGCATTACTTTGATACATTTGAGTTATTTAAATTATATAAATTTAAATTACTAAATATTTTTCTAAAAGTTATTCACTCAATTCATTATATTTTTATGTTAAAAATTGAAGAGATAAATATGAGATTCCTGTCCCCGATATCATTGTAAGTGAATCAGTAATGATAAAAATTAAAAATTCAAGTTAAAAAATATATATAATTCAGATTCAATATATTTATATAAGTAAAACATACACATTTAAATGAATTTAAATCAGACAATCACTACAACATATAAGAGTTTTAGATATCAAATGTTTTAGTCTGTAAACGTGAAAATTTTATTATAAAAGACATTTAGGAATCAATTTTCATCGTCATGGGGATAGTCGCTAAAATATCGTCTTAAAAAGTAAAAAATAAAGTTTTTAGCGACAAAATTTTGAAAATGTCACTAATAAATAGACTTTTATGGATAAAATAATTTGGTCTCAAAATGATTTATTTTTTGAGACAAAAAATTTGATCCAAAAGAATAATAATTTATCACTAATGTCCAATTTTTATTACTAAAAATATAATAACGCTACTTTTTATAATAAAATTATTTAATTCTTAAAAAATAATTTTATCCCTAAATTTTGATATCTAAAATCACAATTTTTAGTAGCGAATGTTTTTTTCCTTGGTCAAGCCTTCTATAAATGCACAAACACTTTCTCTTCGCTGCCTCGAAACCTCCACTGGTTTTCAAAGTCTGTTTCACAGAAATTGAAGAAAACATGAAGAGGCTTTTCTTTGCCACTCTGCTACTCTTTGCTCTTCTCCTCAGCTCCTCTTTCTTGGAACCCACCATGGCCAAGTCATGTAAGAGCTTCTTTCTTTTTTCTTATAAATAATATTTTCCTTTTTTTTTTTTTTTTTTTCCTTTGGTTAGATCACTTTATGTACGTTCTTTTAATTGCAGCTTATAAACTGGTGTATCTTATAGGCTTATTTTTTAAAAAAAATTGAGACAAAATATTTTATTTTTTAGATTTGTCTAGGCTAAACAATCTTTTAGTTTTTTTTTAGTATGGCATAGTTACGAATCTAAAAAAAACTATTAAAGACAAAAATAAATTAAAAAAAATAAGTTAGCTAAAAAGTTGAGCCAAAGGAAGTATACATGCATGCCCGCGAGTGTGTGATAGCGACAACGATTGTTGTAAAGATTAAGGATTGATCCAGTGAGTAAAGTGTTCTCCAATCATGTATAATATTCGAGTTCTAGCCTTATGGGGTATCTTTTTTTCTTATTGTATGAAAAAATAGTGATTGTGAAATTATTATTTTATTTAATTTATTTTTTGGGGACAGTGTTTTGTACGCATAAGTGCAAGGGAAGGTGCGCAAAGGCAGCAGTGAAGGAGAGGTGCTTAAAGTACTGTGGGATATGCTGTGCTGAGTGCAAGTGTGTGCCTTCTGGGACTTATGGTAACAAGCACCAGTGCCCTTGCTATAGGGACAGGAGGAACTCCAAGGGCAAGCCCAAGTGCCCTTAAAAATATCATCATCATCATCACATCATCATTCAAATGTAACTGGGAGAGAGAGAGCGAGAAAATTTTAAAAATTAAACCCTAAAACCTAAACCCTAAAATAAAATAAAAAATTAGGTCTTTTGTAATGTGTGATAGTATAGAAGTGTTGGTGGTGTGTGAATCAGACGTGGTGATTTGGACTCCACTGACAGTTTGATTTACATATAATAATTTTCATGTTCATTTGTGTTATTACTATTACTATTTATTGTGGTAAGGTGGACCGAACCAAATTCTATTCCACAAGTGCAATATAAAAAATAAAAAATAAAAAAAAATTCGGTACAATTTTTTTCTTACAAATTATATGACAAATAATAGTAAAATTTAGAATGTGAAATGAGATTCAGTTTACAAACACTCCCAATTTGACAGGACAAAATGACAAATCATCTTTTTTTGTTGTCAAATATAGGGAGTTTATTTTATTTTATTTTTTTTGTAAATTTGATTTTTTATTTGATATATTCATAATGAGAGTGGGACTTACCCCACCTGATGATCTGAGCTCCACTATCTAACATACATATTTATAGCAAGAAGTTTTGGTCAAAAAGTCAAAAATATTTTTGAGAAGTGTGATTAAAAATTAATTTTTTGAATAAATAAAATATCAATAAAAATATATGTTATTTTTTAATTAAAATTTAATAAAATAATGAAATTAAATAAAACATCTATTAAAATTTAAATAATGAAATTAAATAAAATGTAAACAAAATTTTAAAATAAAACATCAATAAAATATCTATAAATTTTTTTAAAAAAATTAAATAAATAAAACATCAATAAAAAGTAAAATAAAATAAATTTATTTTTAAATTGAGACATTTAAATTTTATTGAATTTTACTAAATATAATACATAATTAAATAATAGAAGGTTAAAATGGTCATTTCACCACTTAATCCCAACAGTAAATTATCCCATGGAAATAATCTTACCCCCCTCCTAGGATACAATAGTCCCTCATATGAGGGATATGGAGTCCAACCGGATTCCATGTCTGGCAGACTAAAAAAAAAAAACACTGGATAAAAAGCTTCAATCGGATTATAATCTGAACAGTGTTTAGTCTCCCTAATCTCCTAATCAAACACACCCTAAAAGTTCTACTAAAATTTTTACAAATTTTTTTTACCAAATGTCTTACATATCCACACATGTAGGTCTCACACTCATATAAGAAATTTTGGTAGAACTTTTGAGATTTTTACCATTTTTACTTGCGAAAACAAGATAAAATCATTATAAATTATGACATTACTCTTTCTTTACCTTTTTACATATTTTTTTTTATAAAAATAAAAAATTATTAAAATAACATACCTAATTTGTAAGAGCAATGCTTAAAGCGTTCATTTGAGAGACTTATTTTTATGATGTACTCTTTAAGTAGGTGATAAAAAATGACATATTTATAGAAGCACTATTTTGTAAGAGCAATGCTTAAAGCATTCATTTGGGAGGCTCACTGTATTTTTATGATTTAATTTTATTATTAATTAGTAATACTACATGTTAATAATAATATAATGGCCATATTTGGTAGGATTTATTTCCAGTTTATTTCAGTTTTTAACTTAATTTAAGTTATTTTGATGTGTTTGGTTCAGCTTAACAATATAACTTATAGCTTTTTGTAAGTCAAAAATCAACTTATTCTTTGAGTGGAGAAGGAGAAACTTAATTTATAAGTCAAAAATCAGCTTATATTCACAGCTATAAGTTATAAGTTGTTAGATTATAAGTTATAATCACTTTCTCATAGCTCTACCAAACGGGTCCTCATATGAGGGATATGGAGTCCAACCGGATTCCATGTCTGACAAACTAAAAAAAAAAAACACTGGATAAAAAGTTTCAATCGAATTACAATCTGAACAGTGTTTAGTCCCCCTAATCTCCCAATCAAACACACCCTAACAGTTCTACTAAAATTTTTACAAAATTTTTACCAAATGTTTTACATATCCACACATGTAGGTCTCACACTCATATAAGAAATTTTGGTAGAACTTTTGAGATTTTTACCATTTTTGTTTGTGAAAACAAGATAAAATCATTATAAATTATCACGTTACCCTTTCTTTACCTTTTTACATATTTTTTTTTTTGGTAAAAATAAAAAATTATTAAAATAACCTATCTAATTTGTAAGAGCAATGCTTAAAGCGTTCATTTGAGTGACTTATGTAATCTTTAAGTAGGTGATAAAAAATGACATATTTATAGAAGCACTATTTTGTAAGAGCAATGCTTAAAGCATTCATTTGGGACGCTCACTGTATTTTTATGATTTAATTTTATTATTAATTAGTAATACTACATGTTAATAATAATATACTTATTCAAATACAGTATGATAGATTTCCAATTGCATTATAAAATGCTTATTATTTTTTCAAAAATAACGTAAAACGTAAAATTTGAGCTATTTAATGATTAATTAAATCAGGTGCTAGATTTTTCGCATTGGTAAATTATGTGTTCAAGATATATGTTATTTGGGTAGCTTTTGCAAATTTTTTTATATTCTGATAATAAATTATTTTTATTTAAGTAATTTTTTAACTTATAAACAAGAAGCACAACTGCATTAATAAACTACCAAACATGGAATTATCGTAGGGAGCCGAAAGATCAGAACGGCGTCGTATGAACTGTTTGTGGAATGAAGTATCACACACGATTGATTACACGGTGACACCTCTTGCCCCTGTTTCTCTCTTCTATTCTATCCTGGTTTAGTTTGAAAGTTTTTGAATTGTTGTGAGGAAAGAAGGTAGGGATCTCCAGCAATCAAATCTATGGACAATTCCAAGGTTCAAGAGGTAAAATGCTCATATCTATCTATATATCTATATATGTTTGTTTGGTACATTTGCGTTTTCAATTATTGAGTCTTCAATTTGCAGATCATAGAGAAGCAAGTCTTGACTGTGGCCAAAGCCGTCGAAGACAAGATCGATGACGAGATCCATGCCCTAGATCGCCTCGATCTGGATGATATCGACGTCCTCAGAGAGCGCCGCCTCCAACAGATGAAGAAAATGGCGGAGAAGCGGAGCCGTTGGATTGCTCTCGGCCATGGCGAGTACTCCGAGATCCCCGCGGAAAAGGAGTTCTTCTCCGTCGTCAAAGCCAGCGACCGCGTCGTCTGCCATTTCTATCGCGAGAATTGGCCTTGCAAGGTGTTTCATATCTGTCTTTTCTTTTTTCAATTACGGTTTATAGGTTGATTTTAACACAAAATTACATTGTTGGCTTGCTGATAAATTCGCTCCCAGGATGCTTTTCTTTCAAATGTTAATTAGGCCATCTCAAAATTTGACTAATGGCAGATTGGTAAATTTGAGCACCACAAAATAGCTTTGCAAATTTTCAGTAAACTCAATTTGGTATAAGTTTGGGTCAAGGAGTGGAGTGTGTGTTTTGAGTGATTTTTACCCAATTATAAATTTGATATAGGTTTGAGTTAAAGGATTGGAGATGCCTTTGCATATGCAAAGTGTGTAGGGCTATAAAATGGATCAAGTTACTTGTGTTCGGCTCCTCTTTAGCTCTTCAAAATTGACTTTTTATGTTAACATTCCAAACTTCAATACATTTTAGAACTCATTAAGTTATCGAGACAATGACTCGATAAACTTATATGCATTGTAAAAACCCAAACTATTTAAAGCTTGTTTGAGATTTACTCGAATGATCAACAAATCAAATTTGAACACATTTTAAAATTCGTTAAGATTTCAAACTAAACATCAACATCCTAAATGTATGATTCCTTTTCAGGACCAATAAAAAATGGTATGTTTTTTTATTTTTATTTTTAAAATATAGTCAATTAGGGTTTAGGGTTTCAACGATAACAAAATCTTGTTTTATTAGCCAATGCCTAATCATGATGAGCTAATAACTAAAAGATGCATTACACACCATGAGCCAATAGTTTAGAAGATTTCTTTGTTTCATGAGCCAATGCATAATCTGTCTTTATTCCCTAGGGCCAAGTAAAGATTATAATCCTAATTTGTCCCAAAATGAACAACTATGTTGAAGAACCCAATCCTTTTTGACAGGCACAAACTTTTTAGTCCCAATATCCCCCTTGGATTAACATAAAAATCACAATTATACTTCCTTTAACTATTCTTCTGGGTAAGTCCTAGACTAGAAAGTTTAGAATGAATTATATTAGCCTTTGAATACAGTTTCCCCCATTCTATTTGCTGAAAATCTGATGGGTTGCATATGGTTAGAAGGACCCACCCATATAGGTATCTATGAAATGAAGGAATGGGACCTAGACAGAGAAGTTTTCCATCATCTGTTTGTTACATTTGTTATCATGGACTGCCTTTGTATATGCCAAGATAAGGACTATACACCTCGTACTTGAACTAGTTTCAAATACATGCACTTGCTCCTGACAAAGAGGCAAATTCTGCATTTGCATGAGATTCATTATATTATTATAAATATATTACATATACACAATATATATATATATATATATATTTAAAATGATGTATTGTTTTTATTTTTTTATCCACCATTACAAACTACAATATATTTTCATTTTCCCCATTCACTATTATTGTTCTAATTTCATTGAAGTGATTATTTTGTTGAAATTGTTTGTGGCTTATTTTTGGGAATAAACAAAATTGAGCTAGATATGTGGTCATCACAGAGGGAAGGCCTTGCGTCATGGGTTTCAAACTACAACCTTGCAATGCGGGGAGTCTTGTGCATTGAGACTGCCCTTTTTATATACGGTGATCATAACAAAAACTACGGACTCCATACCTGTTTTAAAATTATTAAGTATGGGGTAGCTGATCATTGCTTGTCATTTAAGTTTGCTGATGTGTGCTTCTGTGTTGCTTGTCTGTTGAAGTGTCAGGTATTTAACTGTAATGCATTTTATAGAGTTCCTAGCAGAGGAAAGAATGTTGTTTAAATCAAATTTTGATGTGTTGGATAATCAGTCTTTGTTAAACAATTATTCATAGCTGAATGCACAACTATTTAAGTATTTGACCACACTTCATTGTAAGGTTGTGCATCATCTTAATGTTTTTTTTTTTTTTTTTCCCTTTAAAATTGTGGGTATGGTTGACTGATTTATGGGTTATTTGAAAGTAGTGTGTAGATTTCCCGCTTGTAAAGCAACACTACTGCTTCTGGTTTAATTGCAGGTGATGGACAAGCACTTGAGTACATTGGCAAAGCAGCACATAGAGACACGTTTCGTGAAAATACATGCTGAGAAAAGTCCATTCTTGGCTGAGAAGCTCAAGATTGTTGTCCTTCCAACCCTTGCCCTTATAAAGAATGCCAAAGTGGACGATTACGTGGTATGTCCAAAGGAAGGTTACACAAATCATTAATAAAATCAATTTAGAAAATAAAATTGATGTTTTGTTTTAGTTACATTCCTCTACTCAATGCACTGCAGGTAGGGTTTAATGAGCTTGGTGGGACAGATGAGTTCAGCTCAGAGGAACTGGAAGAGAGGTTGGCTAAAGCTCAAGTTATCTTTTTTGAGGGCGAATCATCTCTAAATCCATCAAAGTCCAGTGCGAAAACCAGGAGCGTTAGACAAAGCTCAAATTCGCACTCTTCAGATTCAGATTCTTAGTAATATTACATAGATTGCCTCTTGTTGTAATTTCCTTCACTTTTTGGTGCGAAGAGTCGCTATGAGGTTTGACATAATCATCCTATCTTATATTTAGAGAACTTGAAAGAATGTTTCAGGGGCCATTAGAAGTTGGTATTATGATCAACTTGTTTTGGTTCGAAATTCAGTTGGTTATGTAAGATCCATTCTATCACCTCAAAACCATCTCTTGGATGGTTATCGCGTGTGATTGTTCCTTTCTATCAATTTGATTTTGCTTGGCATCTGGGTTACAAATTTTTGAGGGACCTTATGCTAATTTGTCATTTCTCTCCTTTCTATGATTGCATATTTTTTAATGCTTAAAGAATGCTATTCTCTACCCTTTTTCTTTGAATGAGATTGAAAATTTAGTTTATTGGTGTCTAGAAATTATGGTGATTTAAGGAAAACTTGGTACAAAGCCATTAGTTTTTGGTCTGATGGTGATGTGTCACTGTGCGATGGTTATAGTAGGCCTGGTTTTGCTTGACTTGAGCAAGCTTAGCCAGCGTCCATCTGGTCAGGATTGGTCAATTCCCTCTCTACATTTTAGGTTGAGCTTGGACCCACACCGCCAAGAAGGAAAAACATGTTCGATTAGAGGACCATCGAAATCATCCATTTTGTGGCGGATTGATTCAGATCTTTCGATTTTGGCAGATCAAATTGATACTGGCCTAGCCCGAGAGAACACTGTGCTGTATTCTCACTACAATCAAAATCAAACATCTCTTACTTTGTCAAATTTTGATTTTTTAAGAAATTCAAATATTTTCAATAAGGGTTGGATTTCTCTCAATTGAGAGATTGTGTAAAAATTAACAAATCGAATGAAGAGAGATTAGGATTGTGTAAAAATTAACAAATTGAATGACAAGCCCTATCTTGATTTTTTTAATTGATTTTGTTATTGTTTAATATCTAAATAAACTTTTGATCTCCCATTCATAGCATGAGTTTTACATGCTTGTATTCCATACAAAATAAATAAATTGAGAAAATTAGATAGACCTCACAAAAGAGGGCAGTGCAGTGCTTTTGGCATTAATTCAATTTGAAGCAGTAGCTCTGGATAACAAAGATTAGTTCCTATTATTGGAGGCCGAATTTCACTCTTGCCCTTCGTTCCAAGGTTTCAGACAAGTTATAAGAGAGAACATCGCATGTTGTTAATAGACTGGTTTTGGGCAAGGAATAAAAGAAAATGATCTCAAGATCATCGTGTGGTGATGAGAGACATTGTCACACGATGGATCTCCAAGTCCAGTCTTATTCCCTGTTAGAACCATGGAATATGATACAAAGAAGGATCTGGATAAGAGGATCCCCTTGCCTACAATTGTTCTCTTCAGTGTACCTCTTCCTTGTCAAGAGGCCATAACCAAACACAGGCAAAATGCAGCAGAGAGACTAAACCATTTAAAAAACACACACAAAAGTATGATATTATAAAAATTCAAAACACTAGAGATTTAATAATAATAATGTATAACAAGCAATGTATAACAAGCAACAGAGGGAGGGAAAGACACTGCAGGATAATACAATCCAAACAAACAAATACCCTCCCTTATTTCTTACAATTTGCTACACAACAAAAGCCTAAATTAGAGAAGATCATATGCACATTATGTTATGTCTACCTTTTAGATGTAAAGACATGCTGTTGCTTGATGCCTCGAGTCATCGCCAGTACCCTCTTTTCGTAGGGGTGGCTGTGTAAGAAGGGGTAATGCTTCTGAATCAGGGTAAGGATTGTTTGGCGAACACATCCCTAAATTTTCCAAGGCAAGAGCAAGAAGTGAAAACAATTTACAAAATCAAAACGTTATAGAAAAAAGAAAGAAAGGATCAAACTCATTCCAATTTTGGATAAAAAAACTTCCCGGTACCTAGCATTACTTGTAAGCCTATTAAGGATATTTTTCTAAAAGCATTCGAGGGATGGGTAAGAGCAAGAAGTAAAAACAATTTGCAAGTCAAACATTAAAGAAAAAAAGAAAGTATATTACAGATTGGAATCATTCAAATTATAGATAATTTTTTTAGGTACATAGTATTTATGTAAATGTATAACGATTTGTAGTTTTACATTTTTCTCAAAATTTTGCATTCCATATCTGAATTCAAATTCAAGCTTTGTAGAAACTTTCAATGTTTCAAGGCTCTTCCCAATATTACCAAATCAGAACACATATTTCTCAAAATTTTGCATTTCATATCTGAATTCAAATTCAAGCTTCATAGTTTCAATGTTTCAAGGCTCTTCCCAATATTACCTAATCAGAATCATTAACATTCTGGGCTTTTTTTTTAATAAGTAGTATTTGGCTGCTGTGCGGGGGTGCACAGCAGCCAAATGGGCCCATTTCGGAGCCCATTAAAATGAATAAAAATGTTAGTGGATGAATAGGTAAACGATATCCGATTAACTTGATTTTTTTCAGGTATGTTCTACTTTATGTATTCTAAAATGTGAACGGGTCAGATTATCAAAATGGGCCCATTTGACTGTACAAATGTGGCTGCTGTGCACCCCGCACTGGGTTAAAGACAATAATACATTTTGCAGGACATTTTGAACGTTTTTCTCAATTCAAATTCAAGCCTCATAGAAGCTTTCAATGTTTCTCAATCTTTGCTAATGCTATAGAGTAAATCTCAATGTTTCATCAAGGTTTCTTTAAAAGTTCCAATTTTCAGATCATTACAGCAATTGAACTCAGTTTACTGAGCTAATTCCCATACAAATCTGATTCATATAGCTTGCTGTTTGGATGATGAGAAAGCTCCAAGAAAAAAAAAAAAAACGAATGCATAGTTAAGATGAATGAACCTTTGATACCATCACAGCAGATTGAGCGACATAGTTCCCATAAGGATCTTGAACAAGCATCAAGAAATTGGGACTGTTAATGATCTCCTTGATGATTTGCGCGGCTTGATCTTCTCCAGCCTCTTTCAAACACTTCTCTACCACATTGCAGCTGTATTTATTAAAGGAAAGGCTGACATAGTTCCCCCCAAGTTGTGCAAATTTGACTATTTTGGCATGTTGTACATATGGTTCCTTCATTGCTAGTATAAACTGCACAACATAGTTCCTAAAAACACATAAAAAAAAACTAATTCATTACTGTTCCAAGCAAGCCACAGATCCTATTGGCAAGAAAGACTAATGCTCTCATACAACAAATAAGAGGTAAGACAACCTTTAATTTCTCTGATATTAGCAACTTAGCATAGGGAACATGCCAGTACTGGCAGTACTAGGGGGTTGTTTGCAATATGCTAATTTAGTATTAAAAAAAAATCGAAAAGTGACTATAATGGTCAAAAAAATTTCCTTCCCATTCTCTCTACATTTTGCACATATTTTTGTAAAAATTTAAAAAAATATTTCCAAATGCTTCAGTTTTTTTCACATTATATTTTAGCCAAAAAAAAAAAAAAAAATCTAAAAAAGACACTTCCCAAGAAAACCTGAATGTTGGTAAAAGTTACTCAGCATTTAGCAAAGTCTCAAAATTTGTTGGAATTTTTTAACATAATTATACTCTCCCTTACACTTAGTCTTAGTCTTAGACCATTTTTCATCAATAATTTGTTAACCATACAAATGAAAAATGTATACTCTATCTTTGTTTATTTCAGAAAGTTATCCATCATCCGCATTAGTTTCGATTACTTAAAGAGAGGTCAATGTAATTATGTCAAAAGTGCAAGATTAACTGTAGTATTTTTTTTCAAATAAAGAGAGGTGAGTATAATTTGACTAAAAACTTCAAAAATAAAATTGACAATTAAAAGAATATTCAAATTAAATTAAAGAGAAGAGAGACAAACCCATAACGACTTTCAGAGAGGACAAGTGCATTGGCAACAATTTTAGCAACGAGACGATTGACATGCTCTCCCCGAGAATGTGCGATACAGTGTTGCAACACACAACACCTTGATTTTTCTGTGGCTGTCTAGATAGTTATCTGCTAATTCATGTAGAATATGCTGTGTGGATAATGAAACAAAACACACAAACAGACACATTTGTTTACACATTATTTTAGTACAAGAATATCAAAATCAAATACAGAATTAGAATTAGACACTCAAAATTGCATTAATAAACAAGATTTTCTTGAAATGGCCCATCAACAAAGTTCAAAATTTTGTTATCCCCATACAACTTTTGTATTCAATTTTGTATTTGGTTTCTGGGTTTCTAACATTATTTTTATGATTCCCAAAGTGTATTGTCATGTCCTGAAGATTACAATGCAATGAAAATAATGTGTCCCATATTTATTGTCATATAATTAGATGTCTGGAAGTGACTATGCTAGTTAATATCATCTATGGTTAAGAAATTATGAAGATGAATAATTTCTCAAAAAATTATTCGTGTCATTTTGAATTGTTTACTAAGCAATGTCAATCTTAGTTTTCAATTATTTGTGTTAACTATTTGTTAATTTAAGCAGTGAATGATAGATACACAAAAAAATAAAAATAAATATACATCAAATCCAGATATGATGCTTGTGCACTTCTTTATTGATGTATCACTTTGTATCAATCTGTATTACTTCGTGATTATCAATTGATCAAAAAAAAAAAATCCATGTATAAAAAATGATATGTAACAATATCTATAACAACATTTATAATATAATTATGGAAGGATATTAATTTACAAGAATATTAAAGACTTACCATATTATCCTCGTCAGAGAAGATTGTCAAACAATATTGAATTACGTGATTGCCATTCATGTGATTGGTCAAGTGGACAGTGAACCACCCTAGAACATGCATAAGACTGTATTTTTGCTCTTGGGTGGTCAGATATTCTAGCAATTTCTACCTTGCATGAGTTTTGCAACAACAATGGTGAAAAAGAAATTAATTAGGTTATCAAACATCCACAAGCAAAAAAATTGTATTATGATATTTTCATTAAAATTAAAAAAATGGTAAAAACAGGACTTGGTTGCTAGTGATATAAAGTCCCAAAATTGGAAAATTAATTAGCACCCAAAATTAAAACTTTCATTAAAAGTAAAAAAAAAAAAATGGTAAAAAGGGAACTTGGTTGATAGTGTTATAAAATCACAAAATTAGAAAATTAACCCATAAATTGGTCTGGTTTCGGTTTCAAGCTATGAAACTTATTTTTTGAAATTCTAAACTTCAATTTTAAATACTGTAAAAATTATTTCAATCACTTTACAACCCTAATACGTCCTATCACATATCATATCACACGCCGATAGTCCTTTGACCTAGTGGCATGTTCTCCTCTAATCTAACAATTAAAGAGTTCCGATTTGGGCAATTTTAAACCTTCATGAGCAGTTTTAAATCTTATTACAATTGTTTTTGAAAGATTTAGGCTAAGTTTGGGAAGTCCCAAATAAGCTAAAAAGTCAAAAAGTTACTCAAAAAGTTAAAAAATTAACACTATTCACCAAAAGTCAACAATTACGGCTGCACAACTCCCAATTCAAATTTTCCTCTACAAACCAATTTTTACAATTTTTTATTACACATTTTTCCATAAAAAGTCAAAAAGTTAACCCAAACATCCATATTTTCAATCTCAATTTTTTAGTCCAAAAAGACAAAAAGTGCACTTATTTAGTCTTCCCAAACTTGGCCTTAATGTATAACATGTATAGATAAAAGGAAAGAATAAATTGTGTATTGATAGATGTATTGAATGTTATGGGTTAGCCCCTTTATATAGAGGAGTTATAAGCTTACAAGCCAAAAGAGAAAACAGAATGATTAAAGCATACTAATTATTATACTAACCTAATTATTAAAGCAGCACTTTACATATTATATTCTAACAGCCCCCCTCAAACTCAAGGAGGATAGGAACCAACCAACTTGAGTTTGGAGAGAGGAACAAAACAGGAAAATAAACTGATAAATAAAATAAAACAGGATAGGAGACACGGTATGGTCGTGTCAGACCGTTGTAGGAGACACTTTATGGGGTCATGTCGGACCGTTGTAGAAGCTAGTGGTGGTGCACCAAGGGGGCGACTTAGGGAGTGCGCCATGGGGTGGCTTGGGTGGGTCCCATGGTGTGTAACCATGCTCACCATGATACATGATATATGTATAACCCCCCCCCTCAAACTCAAATAGGTGTGAAGATAGAAACCTATTTGAGGTTGAAACAAAGGGATTGATAAAGCTGACCGGTGTAGAAGACACTGTATGAGTGTGTAGATAGGCTGCCCAAAAGATATACATGGATATAGATATCGAGCCCTCAAAAAGTCTGCCCTCAAAAGGTGTGCCCAATCTATAAAAAGGCGTGCCATCAAAAGGCGTTGTAGCAGACACTGTGTGGTCGTGTCAGACCGATGTAGAAGACAGTTTATGGGGTCATGTCGGACCGTTGTAGAAGCTGACCGGAATCAATGTCGGGACAGTTTACAGAGTCTTGTCGGACCCTTAAAAAGTCGCACCCTCAAAAGGTGTGCCCAATCTTTCAAAAGGCGTGCCATCAAAAGGCGTGCCCGCCATCAAAAGGCGTGCCCAGTTTGTCGTCGAGCGCCGAGCGGCGCATGATGCGCGTGTCTGCCTTGGCTATAAGACGGAGGTTGAGGCTGAGGCGAAGACAAACAACTTGCGAAGAAAAACTTCTGAAAAAAAAAGTCTGCGTTTGCGGAGAGAGAAACTCTGTAACACTCTGGAACACTCGGTTGCCCAGAACATGGCCTCGTCTTCCCGTTCAGCTATCCAGAATATGGCCTCTTCGTCCCGTGGTCTGCTCACTCTCTTTCCCGACCTCAACGAGTCAACAAGAGAGATAACTGGTGCGGGGGCCAGTGAACCTCAAACAAGCGCCTCTGGTTTTGCTCCGTGAACTTTCCGATGCGGTCGGTGGAGCAAAAAATGGCGATGCAAACTGATATTGAGGCCAATCAGTATACTTTGAAGTCATGTGTGACCATGACTGCGGTCACAAACTTGTCGCACCGGCTGCAGAGTAGGACAAATGAGGTGCAGCAGTTAAACGCCCAACTGGCTCTGCTCCAGCGCATGTATAAGGATGCGCGAGCAGAGATAAGTGTGCTAAAGGCGGAAAATAAGGAACTGAAGCGGAAGGCCACCGTTATGTTCCGATTTGGAGGTCCACTATATGCTGCAGTGGAGGAGCAGAGAGTAGTGATCATGCCCAGTGGAGTGGGAAACACGGAGGCAACACCGGCAAGGGCCGCCCAGGACGGAGGCAAGAAGAAGAGACCGGCGGCAGAGTAGAGAAGAAAAATTCTGCCTGTGGATGTGGTGGTTGTGGTATTGGTTGTTTTTTTTTTGTTTTTTTGTTTTTTTTTTGTTTTTTTGTTTTTTTTATTTGGTGTAAAATTGTGATCGGGGTTGATCCCCTTTTTTTTTTTGTTTTTATTTGGTGTAAAATTGTGATCGGGGTTGATCCTCGGCATGAAGAAATGACAAGTGTGTGGAATGAAAGCCGAGTTGGGGTGAATGGATTTTTTTTTTTTTTTTGGTGTGAAAAGTAAGGGAATCGAATAAAAAAAAAAGATATGGTGATGGTGATGAAATGATAAGCATGGTGATGAGGAACATATAATAATGAATAAAAAATAGAGCACCAATTAAAAAAATAAAAATTGGGGCGGTGGATGGGTGTGAAAAAAAAAAAGAAAAGTGAGTGAGAGTCGAGGGTTGAGTTGTGTGGGTGGAGAATAAAGAAAAGAAAAGAAAAGAAAAGAAAGGGGATCATTGTGTGTTGATCATTACCATAAAACCAGCGAGAGAGAGAGAGAGTTTGTGCATGCGGACCTCATTTGAACAGCATGTGTAATGGGTCTTCTTTTGTCAAAGGGCTGACACTGCAGGCCAAGTGGCCTAAGCTCCAATGGAAAAGAACAGGTTGGCTTGGTCTGCCTCAGTCAGTGAAGACATCCTGGTGCAAATCATAAAATGACCTGTAATCGTATGGAGAAAAGGAATGAACAAAACGGAGCTGAGATACACTATATATATGTGCGTGTTGCTGGAGATGAGAGGAGCCTTGGGTTTGAAGAGGAGGAAGAAGACTACGGCGGCCACGAGATCGAAGCCTAAGCTGGAATCTGCGTCTTCGGACTCTTTGGCGGCTGCGTAAGCGTTCCAATCGGCGAGCAAAGACGACGACGATTTCTGCAGATCGTTGCTGCTACTGGGGCCTCCGGCGAACCATGCTTGCATATGTGTGTGTATGCCGAGAGGGAGAGGTGATGGGTGTGTGTGTGAGCTGCTGGGTTTGTGTTAGAGAGAGAAGAGAGAGAGAGAGAGCTAGTGCATGTCCGTGTGTAGGTGTGCATGGGTGTCTCTTAATGGTTTCTTCTCCCTCTCCCTAAACCCGTGTGTGCATCTGTGTGTGTGAGTGCTCCGTCTGTCCTCCCCCGATGAGGTGACACCGCTACCGGCTCCACCGTTGGCGGTGGTGGTGGCGGCGCTTGTGGGGAAAGACTTGTGGCGGCGCTTGTGGCCGCCGAGGACTTGGCTAGTGAGGAAAGACTTGTGGCAGATGGAGCACTCGTAGGCCGACCACTTGAAAGTAGATAATCTGTTTCGGAAAATGGCATGAGCCATGGAAATGGAGTTTCATGTCCTTGGAGTAGGTGTTGTTTTGGAGAACATGGATGGGGCTCTTGCTAGTGGTTCAGTAATGGCAAAGCCAAATGGGAATCCTGAAACTGGTGACAAGTTGGAAGACGGAGCTACTAACTCAAATACTGAAGCAATTCCCGAGCTTCAGGGAAACAGGATTTGGAAGAATTAATTAGAGAGAGAGTTGAAGATGCAGCGGAGTGAAGGTATGTGTAGAAAATTCCAGCGGGCAGTGAAGGCAAGGTTGCCGGCCGACTGCCCGCCGGTGAGAAAGAAATATAGGCCTAAATCTTATAGCTCTGATACCATGAAAGATTTAATGTATAACATGTATAGATAAAAGGAAAGAATAAATTGTGTATTGATAGATGTATTGAATGTTATGGGTTAGCTCCTTTATATAGAGGAGTTACAAGCTTACAAGCCAAAAGAGAAAACAGAATGATTAAAGCATACTAATTATTATACTAACCTAATTATTAAAGCAGCACTTTACATATTATATTCTAACAGTTTTAGACCTCTAAAAATACAACCAATCAATAGAGTCCGTTGCTACAAATAAATTTTTATTTTCAACTTTTATTGAAATTGTTTTAAACCTTTAGCTAATAAATCCTGCCTCATAATTACGTTTTGGGATCCCAAACTTATTTTTGGGCTGTTTTAAATCTTACTTGAATTGTTTAAAACCTCTAAACACAGTTTACTGGTGATTTACAATTGGTTCGGTTACGACCACCAATCTTTGAAGTTTTGATGTTTTTAACAAATTTATGGCTGTTTTAAATCTTATTTCAATTGTTTTAAATCTCTAAACACAGTTCACTTCGGTTACTGCCAATCTTTAAAGTTGCGATGTTTTTTTAACAGATTTATCACCCGATATGTATAAAACAGTGAAAAAGAATAAATCAGAAAAATATATATATATAGAAGTAGGGAAACTAGCAAAAACATACCCATGTGTGTCACAACATATAGTCATCAAGTAACGCTCATTGACCACCAGAAGAAGAATTTGAGTAATCTAATTTGAATTACACACTCCAAAAGACTTATGAATGAGAGAATTCCCAAACTGATGTACCACTAACTCGCGAGCATGATCTTTGAGCTCGAAGAACAACATCTCAATCTCCTCAGGGTTAGCCTCCTCAATCTTCTTTTGCAAGTAAAGACAACCGCGCTTATCCTTAGCCACCAAAAATACTATACCCCTCAGTTCCATCAAGGTTGGAGCTAGATTTTGCAAATCATTGCCTCCAAATCCATTCGATCTTAGCCTAAACCCATTTTGATTCGAATTAGTTGAAGCTCCATCATAGTAAGGTGTGTTGAAATCGTACCCATTTTGGTTCAAGCGAGGAGGATTGTTTGTTGTTGTTGGCCTTCCATTGTTGAATTGATTCAAACCCATTTGTTCTCTTACTGCGGACTGAATTCTCATTCTCTGCAAATTCTCATCATACTGGGAACATGAAGAATACGGATCAATCGGCGAGGAGTTGTTACGAGACGACGACGATGACGAAGGCAAAAACAGAGAGGACCGAGAAGGGTTTGAGAGATTGAGGTGACTAAATTCAGCATCAAGGATATTCCAAATGTTGCCATAAACAGTGGTATTTGGCAAAGTGATAGGGCAGTATTGGTAAGGATTGATTCCTGGATAGCGATTTTTTGGAGAAGGAAACCAGTCAGTCTGTTTGGTTTGAGTTTTTTGAATTAAGTTTTTTAAAATTTGAATTTTTTAATTTTTGTGTTTTTTGTTTTTAGTGAATATTTTTAAAATTTTAAATATTTTTTTTATTTTTTTAGATGTACCTTATTTAGATGTATCTAAGAAATAAAAAATTT